AGTGGTGGGGGGAGGGGAGGAGGAGGCTGCTTCCAGTAGACTTTGACAAGAACACAACGACGACACAGTGCCCGGCCCCGGCCGGGCTCAGGTGAAGGCGGGGTGGGGGGATAATCGTCTCGAAACTATTCGTATGGTCATTAGGCAAACGATCTTTCCTTCTTCTTACGCGCTGCATGATTTAGCATGACGGGACCTAATGATTGATGATGAAGCATAAGTTGGCGTAAGTGAGCGCGGCGACGGTGATCATGGTGATGATTGCGACACTGTTCACAGTTATTGTTGGTGTTTGTCCCAAGATTCGCCCTCGCCCAGTTTTCGTCGTTCCCAGGAAAAAAAAAATCATTTATTATCTCTGCAGACGCCGTTAGAAAATCGCATAAGACTTCAGCGATTTCGATCACAGTCACAACAGTTTCACAAAACAAGTAAATCTGATCAAAAGTAATGAATCTGTATGATTTCGGTGTTCATGGAGGTGCACCTCTTTGACCTTGTTCAATGTTCCATGCGACAGGAAGGTGGCCTGCGGCGCTGGGCTGATGCTCAGGCTGAGGTGCGCAGCTGCGTCGTTGCCAGGCTTCGGTCGGTACCACTGCGGTCCCGCTGCGCCTGGCGGGCTGGCAGCCCCTCCGACACGCCGTACCCCACCCCGCCCCACCAAGCAGCGGCCGTCGGGTGAGACCCGGAGACCCACGGAGTGAGTGAGTGAGGACGCACTCCACAAACACGAGGCCCGCGCCCGTGTAACCAACCCGTGTCCCCGCACCGCCACCGCTGCACGCACTTTCTTCAAAAGAAAACACAACGCGGTCCTCGCAAAGACGCTGCTGCTGCAACCTCCCAAAATGTCTCCCTCTCTCTCACATTTATCACCTTATTTTATTATATAGGCCTCTCCCCACGGGGCTTCTATTCTTTCGGGGACCCTTATAAACGCAAGAGGGCGCCGACAACCACTTTTGCTTTTCCTTCGCGATGACGATAAGCATCAGAGGCAGCGGGATAAGACGGGCACGTCAGTGTGAGCCCGGCGCCTGTGCCGGGTGAGTCGCGGACCGCCGGCTGTTCAACAAGGGGCAGAGCCCACGTGCCAGACACGTGGACCGCTGTGCAGGGTGGTGCCCACACTCATGTTGGCACCTTCTCTCCCCCCCTCTCCCCCCCC